GGCTCTGGCTGTCTGGCAGCTGCAAGGAGTTGCCAGTCTGGCTGAAGCACATTGCAGGACCATCCACAGCTGGACTTCTATCACCCTTCCTCGGTTCTTCCTTACTTTAGGAAGCAGGAGGAAAAGAAACTGGTTGAGTCTCTGAACCTTAGCTGCTTGCATGGATCAGTTTTCTGCTGTAGTGGCTTTATGTAGGGTGTTAACAAGGCATTTCACTTGAGAGGTGAAGCTTGTACCAGAAGCATGCATCCAGATGCGCTTGCTAACTACTAGGAGAAGTCTAAGGACACAGGGCAAACCATTTCGCTTATTTGAGATTTTAAAATGTGATGAAAATGGCAATGTATCCATAAAACAACAAAAAAAAAACCAACATAGATTTTTGTTACAGTGAGAGCACATAATTTTTACAGGAACATGAATGCATCTTCCACAGTAAATGTAAATTGGGGGGGTACTCAACAAATATGATATGAAACGTTTGAGTTAACCACAGAAATCCCATAATTGTTTGCTTTCTGCTTAGTTCTTGTGTTTGTGTGAAAATCTTGAATTTTTAAATAGCGAGTCCAATATGAATGTGAAGATTGGTGCCAAAACACATCTGTTAACAGCTTTTAATCTTCACGTTTGACAAAGCGTACAGACATGGACAAATTGTAATTTACATGATGAAACCACAGGGTGATGGATTGCTGCAGTGGCATGGAACGGCACAGAAAGGAAATAAATTTCACAAGATAAAAGGAAGGGTTTGGAGTGCATTTACTTCTATTATAAGCTTTTACAGGGTATGTGCACTACAATGTACTACCTGGGTTCAAATCTACTGGACTAAATCCTCTTCAGCAAATAAAGCTTTCTTTGGGACTCTGCTTTATTAGAAAGGAGATTATTTGGTTTTGAGGGTCATTCTAGAGTAGAGTTTGAATGAACTTGAGTTGCTTTCCAAGATAAACACAACCCCAGAACAAAGCATATCTGGGTTTACTGTTACATACAATGGTGTTTTAAGAGCTTGCACCTGGCATGGCAGAGTGAACATTAAAAGCTTGTGAAGAATTGCCAGTGCAACATATGGCACATCCCTCTGACAGATCTAGAATTGGTCTGGACTGGGCGTGGGCCCATTGCCAGGGGTAAGGTTCTCATTGCAGCGATACGCAGCAGTTAAGCATTTATCACTGTTGTAACGAGGTGTAATTACTCGTAATCTTTCCCGAAACTCTCTTACAGGCAATCTCTATTTGTGCCTTCCTGTTGCTTCTCTCAAGCCATAAAACGACAAACCTGGACTAGTGAATTTCCCACTTTGTCTTCCTCTTCACCTGCAGTTGTATTGCATCATGAGCTATGGCTCCTCCAGGCAGTTGCTGCAGGCTGAGGTTTGAAGGAACTGGTGTTCTGTCATTTGGCATGATCCTCTGCTCAGTTTTGTGTAGAGTTAGAAACCTGTATAGGAAAGGAAGCAAAACCCTGTTTGTTTTTAAAATCATGCGAGGTCTTTGTTCAAAGGAAGCGTGTGGTATCTAATCTGAGTGAGCGGCCGGTGTCTTCGTAGTGTGGTTCGTCTGCCATGGAACGTGGGAAAGCAGCTTCGGTTTCCCATGCATCTGCTGGGATTCATAAAGATCAACCCGATGAAATATCAAAGCAGGGCAGATGCTGTGAGGTTGCAGCCGCTCGGCGCGGATGGGGAACCTAAGATGGGAAGGCGCCTCCTGGGTCACAGCCTGGCTGGTGATTTTTCGTAACATTCTGCCATGCAATCTCTTTCACGAAACTTCAGCTTTCTATCATAGTTTTAATGGAGTCCCCAGCCCACTTTACACTGCTCTAGCACCTGGCTGGTCCTATGAACCTCTTGCTAATTTCTTTCCCAAGGAGGATGCAAACCATTTTAGTGAGAGCAAGCAGTGGTGGGACAAGCTGGGATCTGCTGACGAGCCTCCAATAAGTGTGGAGGTCCTGGCGCCTACTGTGGGGTGGCATGAAAAGGGTTTTTTGTCACAAAAAACAACAGTGTGGGGGTTCCTCCAAAGTTCTGTCTCTGGGTATGAGATAATGTTTAGTTCCCCCCCCCTTAACTTTTTTTTGTTGTGCAAAGACTGAACCATCTGGCTGGCAGATGATACCTTTACGTTTGTCTGTTTTCAGTTTTCTTACTATAAATCATCTGATTTAGCTGTTTTCTGTTGCATGAGCTCTTCCCAGCACTTGAACTAGTTCTGCTTTAAAGCCATGCTGCCCCAATGAGGAGTTATCTGCTGGGGCTCCTGCTCCTGCTGTGCCTCCCAAACGGGTGTGCTCTGAAGCCTCCAAATCGGATTCCCCCACCACCGCAAGCAGCTTTCTGCATTGAGCACCCCACCTCCTTTTGCTCTGCTAAATGGGCTCCGTCTCGCTCACTTTTCCACACGATGCCTTCACAGAAAGCAGCATTTGTTCGGTTTGCTCTGCAAGGATGTGTTTGACTGGCCTCTTGGCTCTGTGGATGGCTCCTCTTGTAGGCAGGATTCCCCTATCGTGGGGGCTTTTGTGAGGGCTTGAGACCACGTGTGCTCCTGCCACAATGCCATGAATTCTTGGTTTTGTGAAGTCCCCAAGAGGCTCGGCTCAGCCGGCAGGACAAGGGACAACCGTTCTTTGTCCTGTGTGCTCGGTGCAGCATGACAGCAAAGGATTTTGTCTTGGCCAGACGTGGTGGTTTCTGATGGCATCTTCCCTGTCTGCCTCATTTGCAGAGAGATGTTTCTTGGGATCTTAGCTCATGTCTCAGAGCTGTCGCAGGCCCTCTGTTTGGAGTGTGTATGAAGGCATCTTGTTTCCTTTCTAAAAATTAAAGTGGCTCTTGTTGACAGCAGCAAGCTCAGTTGCCCTGAATGCCTGAGCAGTTGTAGCTGTACCCTGGAGCCGCAAATAAGTGGGGTACAGATGATGTCTGAATACTGCTGGCCAGCCAAAATCCAGCTCCAAGCTCTCTAAACCACAGAAGATTGTCCTTCTGTTTTTCTACTCAGTTTCCGTGCCTGTTGAAGAGAAACCGTGGTCTTTCTGAAGTTAGCATTTCTGTCCCCAATCTCTTTTTGTAAGAAAAGAGGTGAGGTTTTAAAACTCTGCTGCTATTATTGGCGAAGCTAGCCTGTTCCCAGGGATGTCAGGAGTTGGAGATTTGTCTGGAGCCAGCAGTGGTGCCTGGGGAAAAGCACAAGCACACAGCAGGTGATGGGGTCACTTCCTGAGGATGTTCTCCTACCTTTTAAAAACCGCTGTTCAGACTGGTGGAGATGGATGTGGTGCTTCTGTGATTGTGGTAGTTCTGTGTGGATCTTTTCTTCCACAGATTTTCATAGTCCTGAGTGTGTGGGGTGTTGTGCGTGTGTGTGCTGGTAAAAACTGTTGCTTGAGCTTTTTCCACCCTTCCCTGGAGTTGATGAAAGCTTTCAGCATGGGAGATCTGTGACAGAGTTGCAGCCCTCTATTCAATCTTGTGCAAAGAACTGATTATGTGACGGGTTTTCTTTGTTTTTAAATCTTTTGCTTGCTAGTTCTGTGTGCTGCTAAACAATTTTGTACCAGAATAAGCAGGGAGCAGTTGTGCTTTCTCTATAGTCCTCGTGCTGTGATGGGCTTCTTAATAGCAAGGCTAATATGTGCGGTACGAGGGCTTCCTCATGTTAGTTTGCCTCTTCTCAGCTTTCTCATCCTCTCTGCCACAAAACCCATGTGGCTGGCACAGATGTTCCACTTGTACCGAATGACCTCTTCTCTTCCTTGTGAGGACACACAGTGTCTCCTCCCCTTGGCATGGTCTTGGATCATAACCTATTTAGAGCATTCTGTAAACGCCTTAAAAGAAGTAGCAAGTACATGGCTTAAAACTCTAGAGACTGTTTATATTTTGTCAGCATATCTCCGATCCTGTCCTAATTTTGCATTTTCACATATGCTTAATCAACCCTCAGACTGGCTCCTGGGGAGACTGTTTGGTGCCTCAGATGGACCCACCAAATGGTCAGTAGCAATACGTGGTGCTAGCATTAACGCTTCTCAGGCCAACGGTGTGGAATTTGTTTCAATGAATGTTTTGAAGCTGGGCCAGAGAGTGAATCAAATGTGAATGACCATGAGTCACTTCTGAAAACAGCCCTGTTGAGGGTTCAGAGGTGACTTGCCTGCTGCAGATAGCTCCGCCTGCACGGGCCACAGTGCAAAATTGCAGGTGTGTTGGCTTTGGGAGTCCTCCAAGCTTGTCTTTTGGCACTCTGTGCCAAGAGGCTGCCACCTCCATCAATCGTGGCTACCTCCATGGGGAAAGAGTTATGCTATTTAGCATGGTGGGTGCTGAGTATAAAAGAAGCTGGGTGTCTGTCATGTAAATGTTATGTTGCAGGGTTTGAATGTCAGATAAAGGAGATGGTCTGTCTGTGAGAGAGCCGTGCTGGGTGATTGTCGGGGAAGAGCTGAGGAGAGCAGCTGCCTTCCTGGGCTGCTCTTCATGGGTTTTGTGGGGGGAATATCAGCAAGCATCACATTTCTGCCACTTTTTCTTGAGAAAGTCCGGAGTCGTCATCTTCGGTGTGTATTTGAAGCAGGGTATGGGTAATGCAGCCTTGTGGTTTCCCTTTTGGCTTAATCACTTTCACTAAGCTCAAATCCTGCATGTCTCCCTTGGGGTGCCTGTCCTTGTAGCCCAAGCAGCATCTCTGTGGGTGCATGACAGTGCAGATTACATTCTGCAGAGGGGAGGACTGGTTGTGATCCTTGAGTAGCAGGTGTGCCCAAGGAAGTAAGCCAAAATCCTTATCCACAACCCAGATCTCTGGGACTGTGTACCTGTGCATCATGCCTCATTACACCTCCTTTGCACAGTTCCATTCCAACCAGCCCCCTGGTAAATGTGTTGTTTGTTTGTTTGCTTTTTTCGTTTGTTTGTTTGTTTTGTTTTCTTTGCTCTAGTGACTGAGGGCTAATTTTCTTCTCCTTTTTCTCTTTTAAAGGTGAACCCCACACCACAGGGTACAAGAGCACTGCTGAAAATGATGTACTGCCCATACTGCCGAGGTCTGGTATCAGTGAAGCCCTGTTACAATTACTGTTTTAATGTTATGAGAGGCTGCTTGGCCAACCAAGGGGATTTGGACACCGAGTGGAATACCTTTATGGGTAAGGTCCTGTTAAAACTGCATGTAATGATGCCCTGATATTGTTTCCCCCATTTGAATGGCTTCTAGGAGCAGCCACATGTGCTACAGCAGATTTTTAGGTGTCTGATAGGTTATCATTTTCTTCCACATCTCTGTGTAGAACAAAGCTGTTGTAGTTCACATTAATTTCTAAATACCCAAGACTTTCATTGCACCAGTGACCTCCATTGCAGGAAATTAGGCAGATGGAGCTGCCATGTGCTTGTAAGCCTGGAATGTCTCTTATGTCACAGCTGGGCTTGCTCCAGCAGTATCTCCTCTGTCTTGATGCATTACGGTGTCCAAAAACATAAAGGCTGAGACCAAATGCCAGTTAGAAATAGGGAAACAGTGTCGTGTTTTGGTGCAAAGACTTGCAACCTGTAAAGCCACATTGGTTGGATGGTTGGTCCATACTGCCCTTGGATCTGCTCTCCTCTCTTGCTGACTTGGTCCCTGTCCTTTTGCCTCTGCTTCCAAGGACTCTCATTGCGCAGCCTTCCCATCCTTTCACTGGTTTCTCTCTAGTGTAGGTATAAGCTGTTTCTTTCCATATGACGTTGTTGTTACTATACATCTGTTCTTCCTAAAGCCGTTTTTCTTGCTATGCAGTCTGGGAGGCTTCATCAGCATTGTGAGCTTTGGCTGTAGACCTGTATTTTATGGCAAAAATTTAAATGTAAAGCGTCTAAATCTGTAAACAGCTCATTTGGTGCTAAGCTACCATCTTTGTCAATAGGCTGTACGTGGTGCTTTGCAAATACTTTTGCCATCATCTTCCCGTTTATTTCTCTTCCATGCTTATAAATTTTTTTATTTGATATATGCAGTAAACTGACTAGTCTAATATATGAGTAGACTGAAATATTAAATTCTACTTTTGGTCAAGACTGCAGAATTTATGACACATCACGTTTTTTGGGCACAGGCAAGATAATGTTAAATGTTTTCATTTGTGCTCCTTTTCAAGGAGCTTTGATTTATCTGTGAAAGCATCTTTTGGGAACAGTCACTTCACTATAGTTTTAATGTATGATGAAGTGCACATGTAAAGTTTCTGCAGCTACTGACAAGGCTGTGGTACCCTTCCAATTCTGCTCTTGGAGGGGAAAAAAAATAAACTGTTAGAAAAAAAGTCCCTTTCATTAAACTGTGAGATAAAAAAGGGAAATTGCTGATAATTGGTGTCCTAGGCTAGATTTAAATTGTAGAACTTGTGTTTTGTGTACAGGCTTTTCATTTAATTGCTTGTGCCAACTGGATGTATGAAGGGTATTATTTCAGAAGGTGTTTTTTTTGCCTGTGTGTTCCTTGTAGGGAGTTAAATGTGACACTAAATTGGGTTTCCAAGTCATTCTCTGGGAGGCTGTCATTCCTGCCCCCCCCCTCCCCCCCCCACTCCTGCCAGCCGTCTTTCTCATGAGAATATTAAGTATTTCAGCTACAATTGTTGCTGAAATAGCTCAAAGCCAGGAGACTTGCAAACATCTAGTCCAAGTAGAAAAGAGGAATCCCATGAAAGGGAAGGGCATAATGCCAGAAAACAGACAAAAGCACAAGCAGCTAATTGCTGTAGGTGGTATGCAACTAAAAACGAAACTTGGGGGAAGCCAGCAAGCCCTGTCACACGAGACTGATCAGGGACTACATACAATAATTAAGACTATTAAACAAGACAAAATAAATAAGTGCAATTCCAGGTTGGAAGCAAAGCTTTCTTCTTGCAGCACTTGCTCCCTAAAGGCTTCTTGCCCACTCATTACTGAAGTACAGTATTACGCTTTGTTACGTTTACTGGCACTATTTGCACTTGTGGTGGAGCACAGATACCAAGAACTTAAGCTGTGCTTTCTACAGTCAATTTAATAACTGAACAGGTGCTGGTTATGTTGCAGATTTTGTTTTCCATCTCAATTTGACACTTGAGGCAAACTAAATTAAACAGATCTGGTGTTTTTTTTGGGGGTGCATATGTGGCAAATGTCCTTTGCGTGTTTTGAAGTTTAAAAGCAAACAAAAAAACAACAACAACTCACTTGCATGTGCTTGTGCTTAATCCTGGTTTGCACTGTGGGCGTAAATACTAAGCTATGATAATTTGTGTGCCAAAAACAGATTTTGAAGTGAGTGAAATAATTTAAAGATAGTTAAAGAGGGGAACTAGCAATAGATACTGGAAGTATGTGTGAATTTATGTGTATGTGTGTGTAAAATATGCATCTGAATGTTTATGTGTACATATTTCTGTTTAAAAAAAAACAAAAAAACAAATGTTAATTTGTAAGATTATTTCTGACTATAGTATAGCTTACTGATTCTTTTTTACCATTGTCTTTCTTTTCAGTAACCTTTATTTATCTCTGTCTTCATTACCTGGTTATGCCCAGATTGACAATGTTTAATAGAAGAATAGCACCCCTAAAGTTAGTGGCTCTCTATGTAAGTCACTTGTGTAAAGCTTTTCCAAACTGGGATGCTGAGTTTGTAGGCTCTTCAAGACAAAGACTTCCTCCTGCCTTACTTTTGCAAAGTACCATTTAAGTTGCAATGTATGAAACAATGACTGAATTGTATTCTTTTATTCTCATTTAACTATCTTTAAATTATTTTGCCATCCATTCTCAACACAATTGTACACCAATTAGGCAGCGGTATACTTTGTTTCAGACAAGCTTTGGGGTGGGAGTATATGTAAAGGCTTTCCTGAATTAACAATGTTAATCTCCAGTGCCTTTTCATGATTTTTTTTTCCACAAAGGTTTACTCTGCTCAAAGATGTAGAATTCAGGCTCCCCATATACATATCTGGAGTACTACTTTGTGTGCAAAGAATTTTTTCCTTTTAAAAAAAATGATTGTTGTTAATGAATGGTCAAGGTCTTCCCCCTCCTTCCCTCTCCTTTTAAATCAGATCTTGGGGTTAAGACTGAAAACTGCCTTTTGTTCTTCAAGTCAGACAGTGAGGCTGACGATGTGGGTTTCTGATTATTGGTGGCACAATGCAAAAGAATCGCTTTCCTTCATGAGTGCGAGGTGCTTTGTCGCCAAGGATTGTCTCAATGCCAGTAGCAAGGACAAATGTATGCAGGAGGAAAAGAGTCTTTAAGGGATGATGCTATATGGTATGGTGTGGGGTTGTTTTTTGTTGTTGTTTTTTCCCCTCTCCAAATCCACTTCTGTCTCCCCAGCAGTGAGGAAAGACAGTCTTTGTCGTGCTCTGTGTTTGTAATAAATGACCAGCGTATGTTTTTAACTCTGCCAGACTTCTTTTGTGAAGTAGATCAAACTTGCAGAGCCACCTTGCCGTGGCTTGTAAGTCCCGGTTATTTTGAACTGGAGCTGGGGAGGGGGAGCGGGGAAGAAAATCTTTCTGGGAGACAAGTTACACCTAAGCTTAGTTTGTGATTTTAGTGCAACTTGCCTCCCCTCTCAAAGTGCAGCAGTGCTAATGTTATCTTGAATCCCAGCCAACCTTATTAATGTCAAATGTAGCTGCCAGAGGGAATCTACTGCTCGCTATGACTGCTGGTGAGGACACCAGCCAGCTCCTGGTGGGAGGTAAAAGTTTGCAGGATCACCCCCAAATCAAGACTGTGGGCTGGGTAGAGTCCCCCATTCCCCTCCCCCTCCTTTTTTTAATGAAAGTTTATTTCATTTAGTGCTTCTTGTCAGTATCTATCACTGCTCCTGAAGAGCTACAGTTGAATATATTCTCCAAGGGCAATTATTGCTTTCCTTATCTTTTATAGCCAGCTTTGGCAGCTCTGCTGGAGGCCGAATGCATTTTCTATATCAGCAGTCAAAGCAGTGGCTGCATTCCTTTGCTGTGATACATGTAACGCCATGGCACCATCAGTAACAAAGGACCCAATTCGCTCTACATTCCCATGGTCTTGTGTATGGCCTGCCCGGCTCAAAGTTTACAAAGACGCCAAACAGCCAGAAGAATTGGGGTTTATGTTTCCTTTCAGTCTTTCACAAACACTTTATTGATCTGCGGCCTTTCCTGGCCACTCAGAGAATTAAGTAGTTACAAAATGGAATGATTTTCTTTTTTAAAAATTATGCATTTTTGTGTGTTTTATTATCTGTCTATTCATAATATTTTTATTTGAAATGAGTGGCTTCCTCCAAACTGCGATGGGATGTTCTTTATGTGCGTGAAAAACCCCAAAAGCTTTGACAATGATGAACACATTTAAGTTGTGCTCCACTTGTTTACAAAAGTCTCTATTTGGTAGCACATCAAAAGCATTTTTCTCTCCTCCGGCACAATGGTATATTCATGCTAGTAGTCATTACTCAGAGATTTGAAGCATCACTTTATTGGAGCCCACCACAATACAGTCTAAGACTCTTTGTTTCATTTGTTATTACCTTCTTTAAAAAAATGCATTTATTTCAGACCTGTTTGTAGTCAGTGACGGCTAAATTCCAGCCATGCCCTGCAGCAGCTCTGTCATTAATGCTGGTTGTGTGCATCTGAGGGGCGAGGGTGTTTCCTGGGGCTTGAGCTCCTTATGGGTTTCATCCCTAAGCATCCCTTGGATGGCACCACTGGTCCTCACTGAGGCTCCAGCTCCTCCAAAGGAATTTTTAGGGTCTCTTGGTCCCCTGGTCAATCCATGCCCAGCAAATCTTTAAAACAGAGTTGTCTTTACAGAGTGGATTTCCAGGTTAGGAATGCTTCTGCAACTTGTGTGGTGTTTTTTGTGTTGAATTTTTGGGATTTATTTTTATTATTTTTAAATACGTAAGTAGCTAAATTGCATATTTTATTTTATTTTTTAGTGTAGCTTGAAAGGAATTGGACATGCAGGCAGAGCTATTAATGTTTTAGTATTTGGAGTATCTTTATAGGACTGTAATTGGTAACTGAAGCCCACAGAAATTTTCTGCTTGTCAAAAGTACTTTCTGCACTTAAGAGAATGAACATCACAAAAAACACTTTTCAAGAGAAATTAATAGAGAAATTGATAGACTGAATGTAAAACACTCATTTCTCCCTTAATAAAAGGGAATGGGTGTATCCTTGGGAATGGGGAACCACTCATTGGGAGAGGGCTTCCTTGGGGCTGTAGGTGCTGTTATGCTCACCTCTGTGTCACACAGGCTAGAAAAATTAAAAATAAATAAATAAATGCAATAAATACAATACATAAATAAAATAATACAACTGCAAAGTTATGAACTTGTGGCAACGCAGCATGAAGCGACACGGGAGAGGAGAGCAGAAAACAGTGCTTCAGGAATTGAGGGATTGCAGAGGAAACTGATGTTAAATAAGGTTGTGATGGACAAGAGGAGGTGACTGCCCAGCACAAGACATGGGCCTGCAGGTGCTGTTTAGGGGAGGCTCAGACAAGGCTTAAATTAAATGCAGTGCAGGGTGAAATCTTTAATGCCAATAATAATTTCCCAGAGGAAGTGATGGAAGTACAGTAGCTGCCACGTTTAATGATGTATTTGAAGAGTACGTGCGTGTCAGCACGGGAGGACCGAGCTGGTGTTGGCTGAGGGACTTTTCCATCTGCCCTTGCATAGAACACGTGCCATATGTATCATCAGTGCACAGCATTTGTCCTGGGCTCCTGCAGTCTCCCTTGTGCCCATGTAATGCTGGATCATACAGTCCCAGGTATTCTCCAGACAGACAAGTCTCTCACTCCCTGTAAGGGAGAGGCCACAGCAGTGGTGCTCTTGGACCCTTCCGTGTCAGTGTCTGCTGGTCAGGACTGGCATGACGAAGCTGGTGGCTCTCTCTCTTTCAGCTCTGAAAGCGGTCTTTAAAAACAAGTGACACAAGGAAACCTTTAATAAATAAGCATGGAGAGGAGGGTTTTAGTAATGCTAGTTTTAGTGGGAGTTGCTGATTACAGACTACATTTTGGCAGACTGCGAAGGCTCTCCCTCACTTAGCGCGGCTTTTGATGTGTATGAGCCCGTGGCTGAGTGCTGGCAGCCCAGTAAGTGCCAGCCAGTCTGTTGAAGTTATAGGCCTTGGGAATGCAGCACAATGTTTCCTGCAGACATGCACTAGTCAGAAGTGATGCTGTGGTGGTGAACATCTGTGTACCGCTGTGGCACCTGTGTGATTCTCCTTGGCCAGCCCTGCTGGGATGATCGTGGCCACGTCTTGCCTTGATGTCTTCGTACAGAGCAAACTAGTCACTTGTTCACATCGGATTGTGTGGAGTTTCAAATGCAACACCACACTGCCTTTAATGAGTGATGGGGAGGGAATGTTGTTCTGCTCAGGAACATGCTTGAAATGCCCATTTTGGAGCAGAGGGTCTGTGCATCCCTGTGTGCTTGATGCGTGTTTTCCTTGAAGCAGCTCCATTAAAAGCCTTCATTTCTCTCTTTGTGTTAGATTCAATGCTGCTGGTAGCAGAGAGGCTGGAGGGGCCTTTTAATATTGAGTCAGTCATGGATCCCATTGATGTGAAAATTTCAGATGCAATCATGAACATGCAAGAGAACAGCATGCAGGTGTCTCAGAAGGTAAATGGGCAGTGGGGACACTGGCTTTATTTGTCTAGTGTATTGTATTTCCCTCTGGGTTCTGAAGAGGAGGTTTCTTGTAACTCCCATTTTGTAAAACCATTTCCTTCTCTTGCATAGGTTTTCCAGGGATGTGGCCAGCCAAAAACACTTGCACAAGGTCGAACTGCTCGCTCTGTCTCTGAAAGTGGTTTCAGTGCTCGCTTTAGACCATACAACCCGGAGGAGCGGCCAACTACAGCCGCTGGCACGAGTTTGGACAGGCTGGTGAGTGCCCTGTCTGGCCAGTACTATGCAGGTGCTACTCCCCTATGTAGTGTGGTGTTCTTTTTCCACTTGTAATTTGTAGTTGTTGGTTGGTGGTTTTCTCTTTTTCTTTCTTAAATATTCCTTGGCTGCCTTAAACTCTCCGAGGGGTGTAATCTCTCCATGGCTCTGGATGTAAATTACCTCAATGCTTGTGTGTCAGAAAGTGCCTGTTTAAAGGCTTTGCTTATGAGTAATATGTGTTTGAAGAGTGGTGTTTAATTTTGTATTAAAAAGTAAATCAACCATCAAAACGACACAACTTTACATGCAGCCTAAAGATCTGGCTTGTACACGTCTGTTGTGATAAAAATACCTTTCCAGCTTTGCTTTTAATGAGTGTTTGGTATTCTGGATTATGTCTGTTTTTTTTTTTTTTTTTTTAATAGGTTACTGATGTAAAAGAAAAGCTGAAGCAAGCCAAAAAATTTTGGTCATCTCTCCCTGGCAACATTTGCAATGATGAAAAGATGTCTGTAGGCACTGTCAACGAGAACGAGTGCTGGAACGGGAGCGCCAAGAGCAGGTTTGGAGAAACCCCTGCCCTGGGTGAACACTTCCCCTCAGTTTGTCCCCATATGCTGGCCTAACACCATGAGCCACTGCTCTTCCAGGGGTTACACACATCTCCCCTGAGCCTGGCTGCTCCTTTGGCTCATCTTCTTGTAGGCAAGAGAGCTTGGATGCAAAGCTAAAGGGTTGTCTGAGCTCTATGTGGTGGATTGTTTTAAAAGATACCCAGATGCGGTTTCTCTCTTCGCACTTAAGACTCTTACTGAGCACTCGCAGGTCTGGGGAGATGAGGTGTACAAAGCCTTGTCTAAAAGACTGGGATGCTCACATTGTGTTGTTGCTTCGGTGCCCCCACTTTGTGTTTCTTGCATAATGCTTACCAGGAGCTATTTCTGGGTTTCTTGTTAAGCAAGGGCAAAGGAGTTGAAAGCCAGAGAAAGGTCTGCTTCTCTGCTGCTGAGGACACTGGCACAATGGGACCAGTGGTTTTCATGCCCACTTTTTGTGGAAAAACAGTTACAAAACCTTTTTTTTTTTTTTTTCCCCTAAGAAAGAAATTACCAACACATGAATAAGCCAAAGAATTGCTGTCGTATGGTTTATGTAACTGTTTAACTTTTATTTTGGAAATAGAAGTTTTTTTTTTCCTGTTCGCTTACTGAGGAAATAAGCAAAATCCAAGATGTTCATTGTGTGTGTATATATATAAATATATATATATATGTGTGTGTGTGTGTATATATATATATATATAAAAGTCCATGTTTTTCCAGCTGTTTTTCTTCATATTTACAGCTTTTGTTCTTAATATTTAGATACTTCTGGTGTGCAGGATTACTGCATAAATTTTACACTGTTTCATGGGTGCCTGAAACTCTGCATTGCTCAGCTAGCTTTATGGTTTGGGTCTCTGTCACAAGAAATGGCTCTGCCCTCCTAAGCTCTGCCCTCCTGTCTGCAGGAACTAATGTTGGTACTGTAATTAAGCGAAAGTAATATTTTCTTCTGTTAAACAATGATTTTTCTTGCAAGTCAGGTAATTGGATTTAGAAAGCAGTGTCATATATCTGGTCTGTAAGATAAAAGGTGTCATTCCTACTCTATAAGATGATACTACAAATGCCTGTTTCAGGAGATATATTCTGTTGGGTTTTGTTGCTCAGTAGCTCATTTAAACCAGCAGATTGTCCTTGTATTCAGATGTGCAGCAGTGCAGACCTGAGCATGCACACATCCTCAGGCAGAGTAGGGTGGCTGTTGTCTACCAATAAGTTGGGTTATGTTATCTCATTTTCAAAATCACAGATGTTTTTCCTGCTGGGGTTATTAGAGAAATTGCATCTCATGTCTATGTGGTGAGCAGTCCATATGTAACAGCTTTATTGTTGAGGTGTATTACGCAAAGCCAGAAAGACTCTTGCCTCCAACAGTTCCAGTAGGTTTCTCTGGCATAGCTATGACCCCAAAGGCTGTTTTCCTACAAGTGTCATCTAATTGGACATCAGGGCATCTCAATAGCTTGTGTTGCTCTGTTGCCTTGCAGCAAGCTGATTTATGCTGCTGTTAAGCCATTATTATTATAAAACCTAGATCTTCCTTCTTTTTTCAAACGGAGTTGAAAATTCCCCAGCCCCAGCCCCCACCCCAGGTAGAAGGCAGACATGTAAAAGGCACAGGATATATAAGAACACTGATTAATTTCTCATGCTAAGAAGCCAGAGAAGTGCTCCATGTGGGCTAGCATGTGGGAAGAAAGCATTAGGTTCAGAAAGCCACCTGAGCGGAGAAGCGGGGTTGGCATCACTGTCTTTCCACACTCTCACCCCTCAGTGTGGTCACTGCAGAGCTGCAGCTCCAGTAACGCCAGGAATGGTTTCTTTTTAGATATGACTTTGCAGTGACTGGAAACGGCTTGGCGAGTCAAGTGAATAACCCAGAGGTGGAGGTCGATATTACCAAGCCAGACATGGTGATTCGCCGGCAAATCATGGCTCTGCGGGTGATGACCAACAAGCTGAAGAATGCATACAGTGGGAACGACGTTGACTTCATTGACATCAGTACGTTTGCTTTTGTTTGCCTTTTGCTTTATTTTTTTCTTCCTCCTTTTAATTGGAGTTCATGCTAACACAGGGTAACTAGCTAAGCTTCAGCTATCTGTGAGTTAGTAAGGAGGGTGAGAAATTGTATCTCTGGCAGGCTGTGTGCAGAGTCTCATAAATGCTGAAATACTGCGCGCTGTGAGGCGTCGGCATTCTCCTTACACCAGGAGCATCACAGAGGCATCTGCATACTGTGATTTTGTGTGATTTTCTTTTTTTCTTTTCCTTGCTGCCTTTTGCAAACAAAGCATTGAGCTGCAGAGGGCTACAGCGTGTGTGTGTGTTTCCTGCAGGTGAGGAGAGCAGCGGGGAGGAGAGCGGCAGCGGCTGCGAGTTCCAGCAGTGTTCCCCGGAGTTCGAGTTCAATGCAACCGAAGTTACTGGAAACTCCAACAAGAGTGATAAAAAAGCGAACACTTCTGCCGCTACCAGTAGCGGTTTATCACAAGCAGCCTTGTTCCTTAGCATTTTGTTCTTGGCCATGCAAAGACAATGGAGATAATTGTGCAGCATAGGGGGGAAAAAAGACTTTTATTATCAAAGTTAGAAGGCACCTGCTTTCACTTTTATACCATCTAGTGACTTTGCTTTTTAAGTTAATGGACAACAGTGTACAGTTTTTACTATGTTGCCACTGGTTTTAAGATACTGATTTTTTTCCCTTGCTATTCTGGGAATAACAGGAATGGGGCCTACCAGTTTGTCCCGTTCACCAAGAGTCCATGATAGAGGTGGATAACAGAAATGTATATACAAGCCTGTAGTTAGCTCTGCATTTGTCTTTATCACTTTTTTATTTTTTATTTTTATTTTACCACATTTCTTACAAAAAGAAGAAACCCAGGGTCCTTTCTTGGCATGTAACAAGTATGTGTTTCTGAAATGAGAAATATCTGTACAGAAGCAGGTTTTATTTATCATGTTATCTTATGGGGAAAAATAATTACCAAACAAGCAGAAAACATGTTTCATGTAGTTAACTTCCCGTTTATCCACGTAATGTTAGTTGCCTTATCTGGAAAAAAGTGGAAGTAATTTGTCTGTATTATGCAGCGAAACAACATGAAGACAGAACCGGTCAGTGTGCCAAGTGCCCCATTTGCATAAGGTGGTAATGCCAGGAGCAGGTTGTACTTTCTTTACAGGATGTTTGGTTAAATTGGAAGAGACTACAGAGAATTCCAGTTTTGCAGATGCTAAGAAGAGTTATCAGTTGTTCCCCAGGATCCTTGCAATTAGCTGTAACTCATGTAGGTCAGTTCCTGAAGTGCATCTCCAGTGGGAATAAGGCATTAAACTTGTTTGGTTGGAAGCAACTTGTTGTGTCACAGATCCAAATGCCAACACGTGTCTTGTCTGCAAATTTGTTAGATGAATGCTGGATTGATTTTTTTTTTCTATTTCTTATTTTTAGGAAAACTTTGGGGGTGAAGGAGGGAGAACTGTTGGTTTTGTTTTTGCAAGAGTTTTGTCTCCTCTCTGACCAGGGGCAGAAGGGAAGGCTGGGCAGAGTGCCCTGTAGCACTGTTGCAGGCAGGAGCTGGCAGGGCTGAAGACGCCTCCTTTTTGGTGCTCTTGGTCCCCTGGGAGCCAGTGCCCAAGCACAGAGTGACTGCAGCTTTTCGAAGCTATGCAAGACGCCCGTCTCTCTCTACGTATGCTTTTGCAGTTGGAACAGTGTTGTGGTACAACAACTCATTAATAAAGGAAAAGTATATTTTTAAGAAAAAGATATTAAATAATTTTTAAAAGAGTGGGGGGGGAAGTCTTCAGAAAGACTCAAAATTATTCTGCGTGTGTCTCCTCCTGCTTTAGGGTAGCCTTTAGGTCTGGCTGGATGCTGGGATCCAGCCAGGAGAGCAATCCAGAGAGAGGGAGGGTTTGCTGTATTCCACCCTTGTGTTGTAAGGATAATTTTCTATTTTTATATTGAAGCATTAATTACTTGTTAGCTCAGGGTCAGTGTTATATTCAACTTTATTTTCACACCAAATTTCTGCAAAGCTATAAAGATGGAATATTCTTGGCTGGTATAAACAATCCTGAAGGCTTAATTTTACTAGAAGTAGCCCGTTATTTATTAAAACATGATGTTAGTAGAGTAGGGATATTCTGGCTAGATTATTTTTCTTTAGAAAATAAATCATGGAAGCATAAAATTGAAAAAGTTATAAATTTATGTGTGGGAAAAAATGGATTGTAAATAGCTAAGTTGCCTTGTGAGGAATTGGAAAATGTGCTGATACTTAGAAACTACCTCAGTTCTGAGGAATTTCCTTTCTAGCTTTGAGTGCTATTACATTTACTTGGTAGAAGTGAATCTGGTCTCCAATATGTAGCTGAAAGAGTTATCCCTATAGACCTTGTTAGATTGTTTTTAATTTAGAGAGTTGAACTACATCCAGCTGTTTTCTTTCAGCTAAGTTCCTTAACAAAGAGAATTTCTGAATTAAATATTGCTGATGGTTTCCATGACTTTTACTGATTTGTTTGGTTTCATGGCATTTTCTGATTGCCCTTTAATTATTTAAATGGTTCTAACCATTTGAATTTTAATCCTGAAATAAACAAACCTTAGATGCACTACCATTGTAAATATATCACAGTAAGGTCTGACTGGATAACCCTTCTGGCTTATACCCAGCTGGCAGGCCGGCAAAGTTAAATGAAGAAAAAAAAATTTAAACTTCTTCAGAGCTCAGAGAATGGTGAAACAAAAGCCCTGTGTTCAGAGCGGCTGACTTTTCCAAGATCTCAGTTTTTGGCAAAAATGTTCATATGTAAGAAAGTTGCTTGTAAATTCTCCTGCTTTTAAGCGTTCTGCCCAGTGTGTACTTAAAGAAAAACATTTCTGAATTTATATTTATCATTTTACATCTAATTGCTTACTAATTATTATTCATTAGTTTGGTAAAAGCGAACAATGCAAAGACCTGACGTGAGTTTTAAACTTGTCCAGTTGATGTTGTTAATAGCACAACAATCCTCCACTATATCAAGGACAGATTTGTCACCTGGGGCTACAGGAAACAAGAGTAAACATCAATGTAGGATGATGAAAAGTTGTGTTCCTGCTTTTATTTTGTGTTTGTGTGTGAAATTGGCTCTCTGACATGAGCTTGTAAACTAAACCATACGGGTGGGGACTGAGGCATGCTGCTGGCTGCTTGCTCGTCAGAAGGCATCTGCTCCATTTCTTCCAGTGTTTGTTTTTTTCCAAATAACCATTGCCATTATGGTCATGATTTAAAGAAAAATTCCCATGTATAAATTAATAATTAATGCAAGTACTAATGAGCTTCAAAAACAAAGTTAACCAGAGAAGGTGGTATTCTTGGTGGCATTGAGGTGCTGTCTCCCAGAGTTGAATAAAAAAAAAAAAAAAAATCCAGCCTGTGAAAGGATCTGCTGTAAGAGATCTGTGACTCTGTTGCTCTTCTGAGTGAAGCACAATGCACCCTGTGCTGCGACAGCTGTTCAGGTGATGTACACGTACAGGTCGCTATGGGTTTCCCCAGCAGACCAGCCTGCCTATTTACACTTCTGATAGTAACGAAGGGTGAAAAAGAGAGCAAACAATGGCACTCCTGTATTCAAACAGCCTCTCATTTCATCCTGTGATGGATGGTGTGGCCCGAAGTCGGGACCGGTGACTGGAGCGGCAGGAGGAGTCCCTCTCGTGCTGTTCTGGCCTTGGCACTGCCTCCTGTTGAGGTGATTCTTGTTGGGAGGCTTCTGGGCAGCAAAATGGGTGATGCTTCAGTGAAGGCTGAGCTTAACCTGGCATTTGTCCTCACAGGCAAGTTGGCATATGTATTTTGAAGGGTACAACTTCTCAGTACTTTAATTATTTCTTAAACCTGATGATGATGAGCTTTCTCTCCCCATCCTCTAATTGTTTTAGCTGGATGCAAGACTTGCTGAACCAGGTAAGGCCTCTAACCTGGTCCTGGCTCCTTGGTCATGGTAGCATCTGGTATCAGACATTTCAGGGCAAGGCGCACAAAAATCCTTTCAATTTCTTTGGATGTTTTTGTGGCATGTCCTACAGTAACCAATGGCTCTGTTTGTCACACCACCACCATGGACACCGTCTACCCTCACACTTCTCTTGTGCAGTCCCCTGTTGTGAAAGCAGTGATGCATGGTGCATGGCTGACATGCTGGCAGCAGCAGTAAACCACACCAGTGGCGCTTTGCACCGGTGCTGCTGCTCTTGTGCACTTCACTTTCCAGGACAAAACCTCAGTGTTTCTTGGTGGGAAGGCCTATGCACTTGCACATCCCTACAGCTGGGAGCAGCAATGGGCATCTCCTGGCAACACAAACACTCCTGACGCATGTTGGGGATGCTGAAGAACAAGGATTGTGCCAGTGGAAGCTGGTGGCTGTGGCTGAAAACCCAAACCTGGATATATCCATCTCCCATTGCTGGAAGAAAACAGCTTGTTTGTTTGTTTTGTCTTTTTCCTTAATGCTGTTGGTTTTATTTTCCTATTTAGGATGGGCTGAGGTGGCCTTCCTCTGCTGCTTCTTTTCTTTTGGATGCTGTCTATAAGGATAGTCGTAATTTAAAAACATAGAAATGAAAGCAGAGTGGTAAAATTAATGTAGGAGTATTGCAATCCCCAACCTGGATGGTGAGGGTTACACCCCAGGGTGAGATTTGCAGCAAGGGGCTGCCCTGGGAGGGTGGAGCAGCCACCTTAGTCAGCACTGTCCCATGCTAGCCTTGTGCCAGTGTCCCCTGTGTTTGGTGTGGTTATCTTCCATGTCCCAAACAGTTGTGTGGTGTCATGCCACACGTCACAGCATCTTCTTTCATGTGGCTACTCTTTAATGGCATAAGGTGATCCATATCTGCAAGACACGTGTTGATTAGAGATTGTGTAACTGTGGCTTTTTTTTTTTTTTTTTTTTTAAAGGACAACCTGAATGTAAACCAGCCTTTAGTACTGGTTTTCAGTTCTTCTTGATACTGCTGTTGCAGGCATCATGTTTTTGGGGAGGTTGTTTGCTGTTTTTTTATGGTTTGTTTTTGTTTCTGTTTTAAATCCTCTGCTTTGGCTTGTTTGAGGGCATGTAACAGTGTAAATTGCCTGGGAAGATGCAGCTCTTTATGGGCTTGCTGTAATTCTGGGTCAAGTGTGCTTAAATTGCTGTAATTTGTATCTAATGGATTACATGGATTGAGAGCCCTTTTATAACTGCTGGATCAAGGAGGGGCTGCCTGCCTCGGGAGGAGGGGAAGGCGTCCCCTTTGTCCCTCTTCTCTGAAAGGGCCGACCTCTTTGGCAGTCTGTGGGGCTGGGCAGCCTGCCGAGATGGGGGGGAGGGCTGGGCAGGAGGCGTTTGCTGAACCCTGCAGGTCTTGCAGAGTTATCGGATGACGAATTAACACTTCATCCCTGGGCATGATTCCATCTCGGGGATGCTGGTGGCATGTCCCAGCGTTGGTTTCTCTCCCAGGTGTGGTGGGCTTGGTGCTGGGGCAGTTGGTGGAGCTGCTTTTCCTCCTGAGTCTGCTCTGCCTTGTTGGCAGCTTGTTTGGGCTCCTTCCAGCCCGCTCTCACTGCCTTTGCCCCTTATTCCTTGCTGACTTGGCTGGTTCTTCCCATAGTTCTTGCACTGTCGTGGATCTTGCTCTTGCTTGTGTCGTCTCCTCCAGAAGCTGTCCTTTTAATCCCCAGCCACAGAGCACCACAACTGTTAAACTGGAGTTTCCATATTCTTCCTAAAGCAGCTCTTACAATTTACACTGGCAAACCCACCTAACCATGTTACACATTTCAGAAGCCAGTTTCTCTTGGAAGCCCAGGAATGGGCCATTTGATGGGGAAGGGCACCAAATAGGCTACAGACCTACTTGGGTTTTTGGCCCAGTACTGCCAGTGTGGGTATTTGCTGGGCTGCTGGGTGCACTGCAGTATGGTTGAGGAGAAGGTGGAGAAAGCTGGGGCCGTGTCCTTGTAGCTGTCCCATCTGTCTACCAGAGGATGAGCAAGATGATGGAGGAACTGTGTTCATGTCTGGAAGGAGCCTTCTGCCACACTCAGTCAAAATCAGTGCTCTGCATCGCCTTCTTTTACATAGCTGTTCATCTTCCCAGAGCCTTCCTTTACATAGCTGTTTGTATTCCCAGTGGTTCCCACCACGTTGTCTCCTGCTATGTGTGCCATTAATTCATGTAATCTGATGCAAATCAATATGCTAAAACCCTCATTAATTGGGTTACTGATTTATACTAATGAGACTTAAAATCTTGGAGGAGTTTAAGGCTATTTGTTTCTCCTCTAAGTGGCTCGACGACTTATTGTCAGCCCCACAATGCCTGGCCCTTGGCTGGGCTGGTAATTGCCTCGTGACTGTATTTGCATCAACATAATGGTGAGGATGTTAGCAGCAGTTAAGGACATTGCATTTTTTTCCTTGGAACAGGAAAATTCAGGATTAGCAAGGTGGAATGTGTTAGCCTGTAGTTGCTCATAGCCCCATTGTGTAGAGTGGCTGCTCTTTACCTACAGTCCAGGTCTGTTGCTGCTTCCAATGTAAATTGATTTTTTTTTTTCAGAACTTTGCAAGTCTAGCTGTAAAATTCAGGCCTGCTTGAAACTTGGCACGTTAGGAATTGGACAGGCTTTTATTTTTTTTTCTGGTGGAAAGAAATTACGATTATTTTTAGAAGAAATTGTTTCGTCTGTTAAGTTTAATGGCTTGAAATGCTGTTTTGGCATTCACGAGCCTTCAAAACAGCTTTGCTGAAAACCCAGTTTAGCATCATCAATAATACAGTAATGCTGAGGATCCCTAGGGACAGGCAACTAAAACAATAGCTGAAATCTTACATTTATAAAGCTAATTGTTGTACATGTTCAGCCGTTGCCCCCATGCCAATACCACACACGCGCTTGTTGTCTTCTGCAAGAAGCAGATCTGAAGATGGTTAAGTCCACAGGAGGCTTTTCACTGATGTTAACAGGAGGTGCATCTGCATTTCCAGAGACTTTTATCTGGACAAGGCCACAGATTTGTATCAACTAGGTTGCTGCTGTAGAGGAACTATTCTGATTTAACAAAGAGGCTTGTTTGAGTTCATTTTCTTTTTTAATGGCTGCCTTCATTTGAATCTCCATGATGGAGTGAATATGTATCAGAGCTGCTATGGGAAATCCTAAATAAATCTGTGCCTGTGTGACTGGGTTCTAGAGGCATGATTCAATGTGTTTTTCTTCAAAACATCCCTCTGGTTTTGGGGTGGTCAAAGCCTGTCCTGTTTGCAGGTGAGGAGCTGGGTACTCTGATGCATGGATGGGTGTGTGGAATAACAGGAAAAGTGTCTGCCACTCTAACAGACCTAAATGAGTTTGTTTGCTCTGAATTTTCCATGCACTAGCATGATCCGTGTTGGCTTTTTGAGGATATTCCAGGTAGAATATGTCAGGAAATGAAGACAAGGCACTGACTTGTGTCAGGCTCTGGTGCCTCCATGGCTGGGGGGCAAGTGTGGAAATTTGGCTGGTGTCATGGCATTGTTTCTTCCCCTATTCCCATGGGTTAAAAAAAAAAAAAAAAGTCCACATTTGGAGAAGTTTAGAATGCATAATCACTATTTATTCATTATGTATTTTTTTAGGATGTTTATGCCTCCAAAAATATTAGACTTGAGTATCAAATGAGCATTTGTTGCTGTAATGTAGTAGTGGGATTTTGGGGTTTGAGCAGCGTTCCCACCAGAAAGGACAGTTTTGGGGACCAGCGTTTGTGTGGGTGAGGAAGTGTTTGCTGCCAGCCAGAGGCCAAGAGGACAGATTACAAAGAAGCCGTTGTCTTTGACTGAGGTCTTCTGGAGCATCGTTGTCTGAAAATAATTAGCCAAATAAATTAGGTGTGTTATATTGCCTGTGTGTTTTATGCTAAATAATTCTGACATTTGGCTTCCTAGCTGAAGAGGGGTAATGTATAGACAGCAGATAGCTCTGCTGGTCTCATCAGGTGCTTCCACAACACCCCTGCTTGCTGCTGCTGTGCTGCTGGAGGCAGCACCTATGGGAAAACCTAAGGGCTATGCTTTGCATGTACAGTATCAGGCAAGAGAAGTTGCTGGGGAGCTTCATGGGGACGGTGTGGATGGGGGCAAGGTCCCTGGGTAGCTGGTGGGGTGGTAGGAGTCAGGTTTTCACACAAGTTTAGTGCTGTACCATCCAGGGAATGCCAAGAACCAGGAATGAGCTGGAGGATTCTGGAAGGGAAAACCTTCCCAGCAGGATATGCTGCTGGTGCATTGCAAAGGGTGGTTTGCTGCTTCCTTAGCTTTGTGCCCTTGCTGCTCACACCAGGATCATTTTAGGAGTCCCACTGCAATGGCAGCCACTCTGGCTCAGCCGATTGCAGGCAGTGGTTTTGCAGCTCTGCTGGACCCAGCACTGAGACAGCCGAGTGGTTTTAATGAGAGCACATAAGTTAAAATTGGTTTTCTCCTTTCAAAATTAGTGGCAGACTATGGCTGTTCAGGTTGCTGTTTTAACTGCTCCAGATGTCAAGCACAGCTCAGCTGAGATCAATGCGTAATCCAAAGGAAATACTATTAATTTCAAAGGAATGTGGTCAATATTTAAATGTTTTGGATCTTTTTAATGTGTAGACGGTGGTAGTGGTCTAGCTGGGCTTATTAACTCGACTTTTGGAGCAGTGATTCCATTAGCAGTGAATTAATGTCTATTAACATTATGGATTTTCATTTATTTTAACATGCGGGCCTGTAACAATATTGGTTATTTCAGACATTCTCCAAGGCTGTCATGAGTCAGGAGCTGTTGGTTTAAGGCCTGATCCCACAAGCTTTTATCCTTCCACTTGCTACTTAAGCCCTGACTTTGCTCCAAGTCTGTGGAGGAGCTCCCGCTGCCTCCAGCAGCGCTGGGGTTGAGCCTGTCCCACCTCAGGCCCTGTGTGCAGGGAGCCTTGTGCCCAGTCCCTGCATGGCCTAGGTGAATGTGACCCTCTAAGCACACCAGTAGCTATAGAGAAATATCTTCTCTGCTCTACGTGTAAATCATCCTACTACAAACGCTTTGTGTTAATGATATGGAAGAAGTTGAAAGCTTTAAATAAACTTGTCTCCTTTAAAGCAGGTTGAGTAACAGCTTAGGAGAATACTAGGAGAAAGTTGTATCTTACAGAGCTAGAAATAGATCCATTTTTCAACAAAGCAAAAAGTTCACAACTTATATTCTTCACAAAATATCTGCTTTCAATAGCTGTCAACATACTTTGCTTATAGAGGTCGTGCGTTTGTAGTGAAAGATGCATTTTTTTTGGTTAAAGTACTCTAAAAGCCAAATTATTTCCATTAAAGTTTTAAATCACAAGTGAAAATTATAATCAGATGAGATATATTTTTGGAAAAAATCGGCACTCAGGAAAAAAACAACCCCAAAACACAAAAAGATTTTGGTCTGCGTCAGAGAATGTGCTCCATAAAATGAAACCTTCAGTTCCTTTGTCTGCAGAAACCTCACCCTTTGTTCATGTCTAAGAAAAATGTTTCTTGTTACTGAGAGAGTGTTTGTCTTGCATGAAAAACATGTTTCTTTGGGAGATGTTTTACATTCGAGTGACGCCAGAGAGCCAAAATGTTGAGCTATATTGGCCGTAAAGACCACAAGCTGGTGAAGCTGGAACAATTAAATTGAAACCCTTTGGGGAAAGGGAAGGATTTCCCCTTCCTCTTGAGGCAACTGGAGCTTTCTGGATAAGGCTAGTCTCTTTTTTTGGTGGGAAGAATCCAGGGCAGGTGATGTTTGAGGCTGCATATATGTGTGTTGTGAGGGCTGTGAGCATGGCCAGGGCACCGGTACTGAAGGCAGCAGGCTGGAGTCTGGTGCCATCGTGGGCCTCATGGCCCAAGCTGAGAGCACATCTGGATTGCACATCTGGTGCTGTGCACGCCTGTCTGCCTGCAGACACTGTGCTATTTCTGCCTCTATGCACTAGATGGCATTGCCAACTTAGCTAAGGGGAATGGGCTCTGGCAGGTCTTTGGACGAGGGGCTGCAAGGCCCCATACCATGCCAGCTGCCCTCATGCTTGCTGGGTACATTGGTACCACTGCCCTCACCAGCAGCAGCCTTTTTGTGTCAGGCCATTCCCTTTTGCTGTCTTCACTGACAGCTTTGCATTAGTCCTCTGTTTTAGGGTTTTACTAGGCTGGGATCTGTGACAGGCGCAGCAAAAAGGTGTGGGCAGAGGATGCATCCAAGCAGGTTTTACCTGGTTCCTTGAATACGGCAGCTGGTTTTGAATGTGTAACGCATCCTAACAGAGGAATTATAAGCCTGTGAGTCTTCCTAAACTGTTGCCTGCTCCTTGGACTCTGAGCTTGCTTTAAGAACCAAAGGTACATTGCTGCTATTTCTGTCCTCTTCTGTCTTTGTGTTTGTATCTGCATGCCAGGGTGTGCAGTCCTTTACCAGAGCAGCTGGGACTGCGCAATGCACACTTGTGTATTTGTGCTCTGAGCATCTGCTGTCCCGCCAAAGCAAACCCTGAGCTTCAGAGGTTCAAATGTGTCTTTGTTTCTGCCCTTGCTTGCAGTTTCTCTTGAAAATCCTGGATAGCATTCAAGTAAAACTGAGGTCCCGCATTCCCAAATGGTGGTCGGTGAGGGATAGGCTCCTCTAGAAATGTCTGCAGCCTCCTGCTTGTGTCCTCCTGAGCACTGAGTCCTGGCTGGAGTGGTCGTGCTTGACAACAGCTTGGTTTTCATTCAGAGTTCCCTTTTGTTGCTTGGAGGCATCTGTGCAGGGCACAAGCATGTGGCTGCTGGTGGATCTAATGATCAACAGAAGTACTATTCGAGTTGTATTAGCATTTCAATGTATCCATGTCCTCGGACTTTCCAAATTGCTCTCCTACATGATCAGCGTTGGTACCGCTGAAATGTTTGCAGAAAACATTCAGAACTAATCTCCCCCTGGGCAGATAGGTCTGTGCTCACTGTGGGGTTCCTTTTGGAAACACCAAAAGAACTAGTAATGCAGAGACTTTGTGATGCAATACTGCTCTGCAGACTTGCAAAAAGTCTTTTCTCTGCACCTGGTTGTATGGAGAGCTGCTCTAACACCATGTGGAGTATTTGAGTTTGAATGGAAGGGGGAGCTGTCTGCTTTCCTTCCACTGCAAGGCTATGAGCAGAGCTGCTCTTGGAAAAGTAAAGCATTGTGAGCAGCTGAGCTTCTAGGAAGAAGGACTTGGCCTGCGTGTTTTGTTTGGGCCATTGCAGCGCTGTCAATCAGTGATTCTTGGTTTCGTGCCTTGTTTTGCCTGAGATATATTTTATATGATCTTTGGCAAGTCACTTCTGTGCCTCTATTACCCCCTCGGAGACGTAAAACCTTATCTGTGAGAAAGAACTAAGACAGCTTTGAGCTAAAAGCACTATTCCAAGGCTCTCGGAGCCATTAACCCCCTGCTTTCTGCCCTTCTTGCATGTTGCCAATGGCCCCACCTGCATGATGTTCTGCCATTTCTGATGTGACTTTCTACAGCAGTTTTCATGGTTAGCATCAGCTGGCTGGATTTGCTGGATCTCATCCGCAGGTTGCTGAGCAAACCTCTACAAAATTTGTTGTTCATATTTTAATGCTATGTTGTAATTTTTGACTCCTTTTCTCTAATTGAAGCGAGCAAGCCAGTTGTCTTAGGAATCAAAAACTGTGCCATCATAAAGCATAAAAACTTAACTGTCCCCCTCCCCACTTCACTGCTTGTTCAAATGGGATTTCAAAGCAAACCAAAAATGCAGTTCAATCCTAGGTGTTCCTTTAGACATGGGTAATGTGACATTTAGAGAACCAGAACATTTATATCTAGGACTGTGATGTGGACAGGAAATATATATTTTTACTGCATGCTCAGGAAAAATACCTCATTAGATTCACGAGATCTCAAACCAATTATATTCCCTCTCCAAAAAAAAAAAACAAGCCTCAAGCAGTGCAGCATGTAAAGCAATGAAAATAAAGCATCATCATCTCTAATGCCCTTCTTAATGGGATGAATTAGGAAGCATATGTGTGGACATAATTCTAGAGACTACAGTAGGCAAAAGTGACTATAGAAGGATGGTAAAATAATGTCAGAATTCTTCAGTTTTACTAAAGGGACCAGTTACTTGTATGCATGGACTTGGTGTACCAGTGTCCAAATAT